GTTGAAGAACCTTCAAACTCTTCAACTAACTTTTAAATTTTATCAATAGAATTTGTAATGGCAGTCTTTTCGTTATCATAATCTAAGTTATCTAAACATAATTGATTGCTGTTATCTCTAACTAACAATCTCTTAAGGATTTTCCTCCTGTCTTTTATTTCTCTACTCGTAATAGTTCCTCTGATTTTTAACTCATAATTAATTTCCTCTGAAGTAAGAAAATTGACTTCAAAATTATTCATTTTTTAATTTGAGTCTAAAGGTAATAATAATAAAAAAATATAAAAATAGTACAAATATACCAAAGAAAGATCAGGTTTAATTCCAAAATTTATAAATAAATCCGGAGAAACTTTTATAATGTGTTAACCAGACGGAACGCAAGAAGAAAATGAAGAATTAACTGAGATAGAGATAAAACAAATATAAGAAGAAATAAATACAAATAAAGCAACAAAAGCTGATGAGGGTTCTCGGGGCTTTGGCGTTATGTAAATGTATAGAGAAGGCAACGAAAATGATTAGGTAAAGAATCCGGGACATAAAAATGTGATGAAGACACACAAAGGCAACGGACAAAGAAAAAAACAAAAGAATATCGGCCCCACGGTTTGGGCGACATAAAAATATGTGTAACCTCGGAAATCTTTTTTGGGTGGTGCTAGAAAGATAACCAATGGAGACACTGCGGACGGCAGCCAGATAGTTGGTGGAGAGCGAGTCGTGGGTTCAAAACTAGCTTTTGGAACCGGGAATGGATCCAACGGAAGAAATAGGTAAAGATAGGATAAGAGATATTAGAAAAGATACAGAAATAAACAAAAAAAATAGATGGGTAAAATTACCAAAGATAAGAGAAGATAGAAACAGGGCGCCACTCAATTTTTTGGGGTTAAGGAGAAAATGAAGAAAACCTTAGAAAAGAAAAGAGATAAGAAAAGATATTTAGGTTTAGAGATCAAACCCAAGGAAAGATACCAACAGTAAATTATCAAATAAATCTGGTCAACGCAATATTTAAACAAATAATAAATATATTAAGTTTTACACCTACTTACCTACGAAACTTAATCAGCCTGATCTTTCTACAGTTCAAAAGCATAGTAATATTTAAAGATAGTAATTGTTTAGAGCTATTATTTTATCAGGGAACTTGTTAGGAGCCGACAAATAAAATACATGCATAAAACAACAACAATATATTAAACACAAAATTATGATGCTGCTAAATGCAACCCAGGTAATGTAATAAAAAAATACCTTTACCAAGATGTATAAGGCAATCATATACAAATATAGTTTGGCGTATCTCGAGATATCATAAGCTAAGCACTGCTGAGTATACAGTAATACGAATATTGACTTAATTTTTGATTGTACGTCTTATTTAGTATTTCCTTAACTGATTTTGTGATGGAACGTTTATCAGGAATTGCATGTTTTTTCTTTATAAAACAAAATACAAGTGGGCAATGTTGTCCTGCCATTTGTCTTTAATACATTTTTTAAATTTTTCTATATAAAATGGTTTATAGTCATTTAAAAGGAAACTAAAGTGTGCTTTTAAGTTTAATGCCATAAAGTATTAATTATTACGTAAAACAGAATATCGGTGTTTATCTAATTATTATTTTTTCTTTCAAGGAAAAAATCAAAATGCCAAGAAAAAGCAGAAAAAAATTGGGAGCAAGGCAGTATGTAAACTACTCTGACGCCGTGCTTGAACGAGCCCTGGAAGCAGTGAGAGCAGGTTTAAGTTCTCGTCAGGCAGAGGAACATTTTAAGTTGCCACGCCGAACCATTCTCAACAAAATTAAACAAACGCATGTTTCCTCCATTAGTCATCCCCTTACACTCACTAAAATAGAAGAACGTCATTTAGTGGATGTTGTTATATCAAGTGCAGAATATAACAAGCCTAGAGATTAGAATGGTTGTCAAACAATATTTAGATGCCAGAGGAACTCGAGTTGTTGGTTCTTTAATAACAAGCTTCCTAGTCCTTTAATAACAACCTTCCTTGACTGGGTCAAGGCTTTTTTGTCACGACATAAGCACATTTTAACTCAAAGGCACAACCAAAACGTTAAACGCTCCAGGGCAGCCAATACTGAAGAAATCATAGAAGAATATTTTTATAATTTAAAAATAACACTTGAAAACATCGAACCTCAAAATATCCTGAATTATGACGAGAAAAATCTGTCAGATGACCCTGGTACCCAAAAATGTGTATTTCGACGTGGGACAAAATACCCGGAAAGATACATGAATGCCACTAAAAGCGCAGTGTCACTAATGTTCGCAGCTACCGCAACAGGAGAACGCCTACCACTTTATGTTGTTTATAGAGCTGAAAGATTATATGATAAATGTATAACGGGTGGCCCCCTCGTACATTGTATAATAGAACAAAATCTGGATGGTTTGATGCATCAACTTTCCAAGACTGGTTTTTTAAAGTTGCTTTACCGTGGTCAAAACGGGATAACAGCACCAAGGTTTTGATTGGGGACAACTTGTTCTCACATCTCAATATTGAGATAATAAGGGCTTGTCAAAGGGCAAATATAAGATTTGTATTTCTGCCACCTAATTCTACAGGGCTTACACAACCACTTGATGTTGGATTTTTTCGGCCTTTAAAAAGAGCCTGGAAAAAGATCCTTACTGATTTAAAAACTAGTCAGCCTAACTTAAACTTAGTTGAAAAAACCATCTTTCCTCAATTGCTAACAAAACTAATAGACGCAATTGAACCAAACTTATAAAAAAATCTTTAAAGTTCATTTCGCGCAACTGGAATTTGTCCCTTTGACCCACATGAAGTGCTAAAAAGGTGCCAAATGAGAGATTTGCGAAAAGAGTAAGCTCTGAAATTGATAACGCATTATTAAATTTTTTGCAACAAAAAAAGAAAGATACCATTTAAAAAGGAAAGAAAAATGTGCTTAATACTGAATCCGACCAATCAGTTCAATTTGAAGAATTTGATCAGAATCAGGAGGGAAGTGGGATCACGGATTCAGATGAAGAAATAGAGATAGAGACGAATGACGACGAAAATTTAGCAGAAGGAATGGAGATGGAGATGAATAACAGTGACGATGGTAATGTTGAGTAGGCAGATGAATTACATGAAGAAGAGCAGGATGAAATGGTTGAAAATATCGAGTCTGATGAAAATATCGAAGTAGATGGAAATAATCCAAAAATTGGTACTTTTGTGGTGGTCCAATTTCTTACAAAAAAAAACCGTTAAACATTTTATCGGGATCATAGTAGAAATAATAAACGAAGACAATATGTACTACACCGTAAAATTTTTAAGAGGAAATATAAATAGTTTTGTTTATTCAAACATATCAGACATATCGGACGTCAATTTTGAAGACATTAGAAAAATATTTAAAAACCCTTTCCAAAGTAGAAGAGGGTATTTTTCTTTTAAAGAAAATTTAAGTTGTTTTCAGTTATAATTTGTCTTGTGTTTTTTTAATAAAAATATAATAATTTTTCTTGTATTTTTTTAAAAAAAGTTCTGAAAAAATAGAGTTTTTTTTCTAGTTTTATTAAAAAATAAAATTCAAAAGTGTATGGTGGGCAAAGTAGTCAAATCAAAACGTATGCCACGGGCAAAGTAGTCCTATTACGTTCCAATTTTGCCCTACAGTGAATGTAAAATAGGTGGGCAATGTTGGACTTTTCCGCGGGAACTTTGCCCACCTTGCCTTTAATTTTTTTTCGGCTGTGTTAAAGATTGTGATAAAAAATGATAAGTACATTCTCTGTTAACATCTCGCTAGTTCTCAAAATTATTTTTGTATGTATTTATATGTGCTAAGAAAAGAAATATTTAAACAAAACTGAAATTTGCTGGGCAAAGTAGGCCATATATACGGTAGATCATCACTCGACTTAGTCGCAAATAAGTGTTTCCTTTCTATCTATTGGTAGCTTGAATACTCGACCATCCAGATCTTTGGGGTAGATACCTGTGGTAATGGATATTGATATCCTTCACAGTTACATATTCAAATTTATTCCTACTTAGTCATAATATGCAATTACTGCAATATGAGACATCGCTACAATCAACACACGCTCTAACCAGTACCTGCTTTATATATGGTGCAATATGCACTCACGAGATTATGGATATACGAGGCAATCCTTCTTGGCTGTGGAGCTGGTCGTGGGTCATATTATGGTGCTCAGTACTTGCCACAGTGACATGGCTTCAAACAATTTCAACTATGACCAGTTCATTTGCCGCCTACATCTGTTATGTACTAATTCTAACCTGCAATATTCCATCTTTTATATTCTACCTCTTCCTTTTCAAGACTATTAAGCCAGCTTGGTGGACTATTTTAACTACTCAGCTACCTTGAACCGACTAAGGACCGTGTTCTATGGTCAGCCACATCAAAATGACATAGTACTGAATTAATCAACTACAAGTGGTGCCTTGGCCAGTGTCTCTTCCCTGATCTACTAAATCAAAAGTTTCATATAACAATAATCTAATAAAAATCTTTCGATTCGAAGTTGAAACGTCAAAAGTAAAATAAAAAATATAATTTTTAATACAATTATGGTTTAGTTATTTATATAAAATATTAAATATCCAAGGAATTGTAAATTACGTTTTTTATTATGACAACCACTCCTCGTTATTTTTCCATTCTGAGAAGGACAGCATATCTCAGGACATAATGTCCCATATTGTGGACAGTCTCTGTCTACCTGTGCTGATACTGTATCCCCGAGTATATCACATGGCTTCTCAGCATGCCTTCTATCTGTCTGTAAACTTGGGTAGTCTATTACTTTTACGGTTTTTTAAAAATTTGTTCCAAGTCGGCAATCATCATAGCTATTCGGACTTTAGAGACGGCTGCTATGAAATTATTTGATGTACATCCATACCATTTTCTAAAGTTGTACAGACATGATAATCTACGCTTCTTTCCGAAATAGAACAAATAAAAACTTACCAGCTGTTAAGAATCCAACCGTTGAGTTATGAGTAAACCATTTAACATCTTTTACTGCAATTGGACTTTTTTCAGGCGATAAAGTTTTTACATCCCCTAAAAAATATTTTTATATTTAAACTTACATACTATTTGATAAATTTATATATACAGTGAGGGGAGAAAGACTTACACCACCCTGTTAAATAGTTTATTTTAAAGATAAAACAAAGTCGTTCTGACATGTCAATTTTTAAACTTGTTCTGTATATTATAAAAATTGATTTATGAGGATTACGTTTTGACATACTTAGGAAAAATATTTTAAAAAATTTGCCACTTCTGGTTATACCGGAAGTGACTAACAACTTTAGCATTTTAAATGGAACACCGTATAGGTCATAGGGATCATTTGACCCATAGGTCAAAACTTTATATTTTTTAATAATCAATTTGCAAATATATATATATATATATATATATATATATATATATATATATATATATATATATATATAGATAGATAGAGATGATTTTTTCAAAGTTAATATCTCACCCTTTATCGAACGTAATGTGTTGAAAACCTTTGCACACAAAGAGTAGGTAAAGTTCTTTAAGGAATTTGTATCTACATCGAATTTCTTAATACAGGGTGTTCACAAATGATACGCTATTTCTTTATACTTCAACCACAGTAGGTCAATAATCTTAAATCCCTGCATTTTATAATTTTATTAAAAAAAAATAAATTAATTGTCTTCTAAATATCATAACGGTTCCCTATATCTAGAGTTAATACTTTTGGAGATGTATTTTTTAATTGATACACTGCATGTTTACAATCTATTCTATACACAGAGCAAGTTACGTCCCTGGATTATCCAATGTGTGACGACATATAGAAAGACTACATATACCAGTGTTTAATTAGATTAAGAGCTTTTTGTTTTGTAGTTATTACCATACCTGTACGTTCTCAAAAAATAAATTTTGTTACGAAAATAAAATTTTTAAAAATCCGTTTTCGGTTTTGACTTTCGTAACTGGCGCAGTCAGTAGGATTTTTCAAAGTTTTAAAGTGTATTCAAGTTAGCGCCATTCGTAACTGGCGCAGTCATTCGGATTTTTCGAAGTTGTATAAGTGTTCGTGTTAGCCTTGCCGAATTTCGCGTACAATTTTTCTTTTAAAGATTAACGGGAAAGATCCACATTTCGGGTACGGTAACAGCCAAACGTCCAGGGTGAAAAACAAACATTGTCCACAACCTATTGGAGAAGCCAAGACCAGGGAGAAGGAACCAGCATCGTCCAGAATCCTATAGGTGCAGACGGAGGAACAAAAATAGTCTGAAGTCTATAGAAAATGAAAATATTCACGTAAGTGTTTCCTATTTTACCAATATCCATATTTTTACGTATATATTATATATTTTTTGATTCACGGTGGAGGATATTTTAGATCATTTAGTAAACCTAACATTTAACGAAATGACTCAACCTAATTTTCAATTAATTAAATATCAAGTAGATAATATTCCTAATTTTGATGGCAATCCGAAACAATTAAATAGATTTATTAAATCATGTGAAAATTTCTTAAATAATTATAGTAATAGAGATGCAAATAATCCTATAAATGTTTGTCTATTTGATACTGTTTTAAGTAAATTAACTGACAGAGCAGCAGACTTTATTGCATCAAGAACAGAACTTGATTCTTGGGCAAAAGTTAAAGATTCTCTTATAGTAACATTTTATGATCAGAGATCAATTGATTGTTAAGTACAAGATATAATTTCAATGAAACCAGAAAGAAATGAAAATGCACAAAATTTTGGTTTAAGAATCCAGGATGCTAGAAGCATTCTTTGTTCAAAAATTAATATGTCTAATGACCAATTAAATGTACAAAATTTTAAAAATCCAATAATATGAAGATCTTTGTCTTAAAACCTTTATAAATGGCCTTAATTATCACATGCAGTTAGTAGTCAGATTAAAGAATCCTGATTCCATAGAGCAAGCAATGGCTTTCGCTAAAAAAGAAGAAAATTTTATTTCTTTCAAAAATCAAGTAATAATACGAGACCCTCAAATTTTAATAATTCTCGATCCTATAATAATTCTAATAGAAATTCAAATATTAATTCCCAACACTCTTCATTTCCAAATAGAAATTTTTCTCGAAATCAGAATTTTTCTAATTATAATAATTTTCAAAATCGACATTCTTCCCAAAGTTCTAGTCAATACAGAAATAATAATTTTTTCCGAAATCCAAATAATAATTTTCAAAATCGTCCAAGTTTTTCGAACAATGGTTCCAATAATAATAATAGTAACCAATTTCCAAGACAATTTCCAAATATACCTAGATATCAGCCATCTATTCCTATCCAAAGTCAAAGCAGAAATTCAATGCGACCTGAGCCAATGGATACAAGTTCCAATAACTTTAGTTTACGAAGTAACTTTAGAAATGATAGACGTTCTCCAAATAATTTATTTAATCATAAAATAACGAGTAATACTGAAAGAGAAGAAAGATATAATGATAATAAACATATAATAATAATAATTTAAGAAGATATAATGAAAATAAAAGAATATATAATGATGAAAATTTTCCAGTCCGAGCCTCAACAAGTACAGCCACATAAATTTTAATGCGATCAAACAATATGATAAACTACCTAAAATAATAATTCCAGAAATTAATGCTACATTTTTAATAGATACGGGATCAGAACAAAGCTTTTTTAGACCTGACCTCGCAAAAGAACTTTTTTCGAAATATATAATTCCTGAGTAATTTGCTGTGCATACTGCACACGCTATTTCAATTCATAATGAAACTATGACCATTCCAATATTCCCTAGTTTCAGAAATCCAAATTGTCATAAATTTTATCTTTTCGATTTCTCTCCTAATTTTGATGGTTTGCTAGGATGCAACTTTTTATCACAAATCAATGCTATTATTGATTTTAAAGATTCAAAACTAAAGACCCCAACCATTTCTCTTCCCATATTTTTTGCATCACAAGACCCAACGAAACAAAAATATTTTAAACCAAGTAAAATAATTATACCACCAAGAACTGCTCAAAAAGTTAAAGTCCCAGTTAACAGAAGATCTGGTACAGCTATACTAAATTATACAAAAATCCTTGCAGAAATTGGAAATGCAGAAATTCCTTCATGTTTAATTGATATCAATGATCAGAACGTTTTACTATGATAAGTAACCTAGGAGAAACTCCAGCGGAAATTAAATTTACGGAACCTTTTAATGTAGAATATATTCAAGAAGAAAATTTAAATAATATTCAGTCATATCATATTGAGGAGATGGACATAGAAGAAGAAGAAATAGATTATATACAAAAAGAAAATCTCAAGAAACTTAGACTTAATCATTGTAACGAAGAAGAATACGAAGCCATAAGTAAATTATGTTATGAATATAGAGATATTTTTTATATAGACGGAACGCCCCTTAGTTTTGCGAATGAAATAAAGCATAAAATAGATTTAGTTAATGATACTCCGGTTTACACAAGGAATTATAGATATCCGGAAGTTTATAAAAAAGAAGTTAGCAGACAAATAAATGATATGTTAAAAAATGGAATAATACAAGACTCAAATTCGCCTTTTAATTCACCCATCTGGGTAATAGAGAAGAAAATGGATGCAAGTAACCAAAAGAAATATAGAATAGTAATAGATTACCGCAAATTAAATGAAAATACTATAGAAAATAAATTTCGCTTGCCATTAAAAGATAACATTCTAGATGGTCTAGGAAAAGCTCAATATTGTACTACGTTAGATTTAGCAAATGGTTTCCATCAGATAGAAATGGAACCAGCCGATGTACCGAAAACAGCATTTTCCACGGAGACAGGACATTATGAATTTTTACGTATGCCGTTTGGATTGAAAAATGCCCCCGCTACTTTTCAAAAAGTTATGAATAATGTATTAAGAGAATATCAAAACGAAATTTGCTGTATATATGATGAAATTTTCTCTGATTTTCACCAATTGATGGGGGGAAAGCTTATTAAATTCCTTTCCCCGTGCGGGTACAGTTCCAAATATTTTAGGACCATGGACTGTACAAGAGTTTTTCCTTCGATATATACAAGTAGACTTCACGGTGCTGGTTCTTTATGTGTTTGGTTTAATAGGGGTTGTACTTAGAGAAAAAATAAGCGTAATTAATTGAATCTACACATTTAATAACGAGAGAATATTTACACAAGCATTAATACTAATGAAAGAGTTAACATTGTCCATTATTCTATCGGCGTTTAGGGGCGCGCGAGCAATCGCGAAAACAAATACACATTTCACTGCATTTTGGTGGCGCAGAGAGAGCTTAGGTACCGGCTACTAGTACCAAACAGCTTGAGACACTAGTCACATCTGCGAGAGATTTTGGATTGATTCTTTACCTAAAAGTGCCGACAAGGCGGCGTCGGTTTTACCACTCAAACAACCCTTATAAGCTATTTATGACACAAATATTCTGCAGGCAAAAGTACAGTCTGTAGCATAAATTCCAAACCAATATTTTGTGAGAACTAAAAATTACACTAAAATTAATATAAAATGTTGTTTTTACAACAATATACTTAGATGATATAATTGTTTTTTCCTCATCATTGCAAGAACATGTTACAAGACTGAAAGCAATTTTTGAAAGACTAAGAAAATCTAATTTAAAAATACAACTAGATAAATCAGAATTTTTACGAACAGAAGTGGCATATTTAGGTCATGTTATAACAAAAGACGGAGTACGACCAAATCCAGAGAAAATAAATGCAGTCAAAAACTTTCCTATTCCTACTACACAAAAAGAAATAAAGTCATTTTTAGGATTAGCGGGATATTACAGAAGATTTATCCAAGATTTCCCTAAAATAGCTAAACCATTAACAATGTGTCTAAAGAAACATGCATAAGTAATACATACTCCCGAATTTAAGAAATCTTTTAATCATCTTAAAGAACTTTTAATTAATGCCCCTAATTTAAAATATCCAGATTTTTCAAAACCATTTATATTAACCACAGACGCTTCAAATATAGCCCTAGGTGCAATT